TTATTTTTCGGAGTTACTTAGTTATTATCAAGCGGGGAAAACAAAAAACTTCTGCAAACAGATTGAATTTCATAAACGAGATCCCTATAAAAAGGGGGTTTAATAGCTAACGCTTCATCAGTCATTCAGGAAGTGATTTATCAAGATCATATTATTTAGATAAATCAGCAAGGTATTCAGAAATTATTGCATCAAAATTTATTTAGGATTCATACATTCCTAAATTGATTCCATCAATCAGACTTATAAGGGCATTTTAGTTATCTGATTTCTGAGAAATTTTGGTAATTCAATTTAATAAAAGAATGCTGCGATTTACAGTATTCCGGATTTCAATCTTTTAACAGTTTTTCAATTCCAATCGCACTGTACAATTCCCAGCAAAGGTAACACTTACCAATTATGTAGGTAGAGAAACTTCACGAATATTTCTTTCATAAAACTGACTGCATTGCAGAATCGAACTGATCACTTTCAGAACCATTTTTGGACGGATCATGAGGAGATTGAACATATATTTAAGCAATATTTATTTACTTCCTGTATTATAATAGTATTAGGGATGATCGACCTACTTAGGTCATACTCCAAAAACCTCAAGGGCTTTATAGCATTTAAAGCTTCACTGGTATCTTTAGGAGTTATGCAAAGGCCTTTTCTTAATCTAAGTAATGAGGGCATTTAGATCATTCTGGTATTCGAGGTAGATTTACTCATTTCAGAGTTTATGGGTATTAAGTCATTTTAGGGCTTGGGGGTATTTTGGGACATTTCACACTTTAGGGGTATTTTGGTCATTTTATAGTTCAAGGGTATTTTAGTCCTTTCCTTCTATCCAGTTTTCCATTTAATTCAAATTTGTCATTTATTTCAATCATTTCAAACAATTCAGACAATAAGAGTACTTTCGATAAGTTAGTCTTCGAGTGTATGCTCATAAATAAGAAATTCTAGGTTTAATGCATTCTTAGAGGTTACAAACTGTTTATCATAATCTTCCGAACAAAATAGGAACTTAATAGTTAAATCAGTAATTCATTTCTCATTTAGGTATTTTCGGTGCTTCAATTTTTAACAAGAGTAATCAAATTTTTAGGTTTATGAGGTTAACTGATTACCTGGTTAATCATGGAACTTGGAATTGTTCCTTATAAATCTTCTAAATTTTTATATAGCCATCAGAGTTTTATTCAATTACTTACTTTTTACCGCATTCGAATCGAGTTTAGAAATAATTAATTATATAGATGAGACTAAACATATTCGTCCATACACTTAGTAATACCAACATGTACAATAAAACATGCATAAGGTAGTAAAGTATTACCTCATTTTTGAGGCATATCGATCAACATTTACACTTTATTCAATCGCTCTTGGACTTGAATTCGATGTCACACAAAGTCTTAGATACATAGCAAAATAAATTACGTTAAAAACGGAACTTACTCGGGAAAACTATTTGAATCAAAATATAAAATGCTGAAAATTAGCTTACCGAGTTTGAATTTGGCGAAACGGACTCATGACGTCGAAAAACATCAGGATAGATGTTCCCGAAAAAAGTTAATGGCTGGTCAACAACAGTCAATGGCCAACGACTGGGTCAACGACAGTCAATAGCTAACGACTGGGTCAACGGTTAACGGTTGGGTCAATGGATCGGCTCAACTTAGCTTGGCTCGGTCCAGACCAGTTCAGTCGGTCATCATATTCCTCAGGCTGATAGACGATGCCCACGCGCAGGGAACGACATGTGCCGACGGCTCTGGTAATTGATTCGACGCAAAATTTTCCTAATTTGTAAACCGACACCTTAGGAGTCTCGTGCATATGTTATTTTTCAATGTACTGAGTGTGGAATTTTAAAATGTTCAAAATTTTCCAATGGTGGTGGGCGAGTGACAACGGCAGAACAATGACGAGGGGACACCATCAGTTGGGGTTTGAACGCATGGCGACGACGAGTCCAGCTACGGTAGCGGTGAGGTAAATGGGTAACCTAGACATCTGGAATTGAGGAGAAATCGAGTAACAACGGGGTGTTTTCGACGAACTTTCAACTGTTCGTTCCCGGCGAATGACGTGACCACACGACGAGGGGTTTTGGTCACGGAGGTCACCAGTCACGCTGGTAGGGTTGGTGCACTTCGACAACGACCGGTACGAGGTGAATCTACGATACACTTAGGGATTGGGATTGAGAGAATTTGGGTATTTTGGGGTATCATGGGTTTTAAGCCTATAACACATATATTTAATAAAAAGAAACACAACAGTGCCCTAGTCTAAATGTCTCAGGCATAGGTGGCCATAACTCTAGGGATAGGGGTTCAAAACCTTACAACACCTAATCCATTTTTTTTGCTGACCAGAAAATTAGGATATTTCAAGATTAAGTTCCTGAATTTCCCATAGGCCCTAAAACTGAGTTGAAAACTTCAGAAACTTGTAATTTGGTCCTCAACTTTCTTTTAATTAAATTTTGAGGTGTTACAAGAACCTTCCATCAATAAAATGGTTTTTACAAGAAATATTTTTATCTTATTTTATGATGGGTGAAAGAACTAAAATTCCTCGTTTAAATATTTTTTTACAATTTAAAGAAATAAATTATATATATTTTTACGTTTTTTAAAATATTTTTATAAATTATTAGAAAAACATTTAAATAAAATTATAATTATAACTAAAAAGTAAAAACAAAATCTTTATTAATTTAGTATAATTCATTTACGGTAAAATCTCTATAAATTAATAATGTCGGGATCACATAATTTTGTTAATTTAAAAAGATATTAATTAATCGATAAATTAAAATTTTATTAAATTAAATAGATTTTTCTATTTCAAGGAACCAATATCATTTTTCATGGATAAAATAGGCATAATAACAAAATTATCCTCCAATGTTTTCACAAATGATCACTTTGCCACATATCCTTTTTTTTTTTTTGGAGAATTCTGGAGCAAAATACCCCCTAGGTGGATGGAAACCGTTAGTTGACGAATGATCAATGCTTCTTATTGATGTGATGGGTCCATGTGTGATGTCACACTATTAGAAAAAAATTTAAACTATTTCTGAATATACTTTTATAAGTGTATATGTAATTAATTATAATTATAGTTTACTTCAAAAATATTTTTTTGCTAAAGTGTAATCACACATGGACTTGCCACGTTCATATGAAACATTGATAGTTAGTCAACTAACTATTTTCATCCAACCAATGGACATTTTGCTCTAAAATAAAATGTTGGGGACTAAAATGCTCCAAAAAATGATTGAGGGCAATGTGACCATTTGTGCCAACGTTGGGAGTAATTTTGTTATTATGACAATAAAATATATACATTGTATTGACTAATTGAATGATTTTCATGTATAATGTGACTAATTAAATATAATGCATACCCCTAAAAAATAAAGTTTTTTGTAGTACGTAGTACTAGTTAAAACTTAATACAAGTTCATGTATGGTAAAAAAAATCAACCATTATATAAACATCAAACATTCTTAATTATTCAATCTAAATCCAAATCAATCATTCATGACTTCACATCTAAAAGTTGTTCAAAAATCAACCATGATAGATCAAATACGTTGTCCTAATTATATTTATGATTTTATAAAGTTATTAATTTATAATATTGAAGATACCATAAATTTATATAATATTCTTCTGGAAAATTAGTATCTTATTAATTTATCTAAATTATTAATTTAAACTTTAAACCTAAGTCGGGACTAAGAAAAAATATTATTTTAGAGAGATTATTAATTTATCGAACATTAATTTACAAAGATTCTATTGTAATGTAATAATAGTTAATCACAATTAATAATGTAGTGTCATTTTATAGTAAAATAAAAAAAATTCAATAATTATTTTATATTTTTTTGTAAATTTAGTGATTAAAATAATTATTTTAACATAATTTAATGATTATTTATATAATATATACAAAAAAATAAGAATAAATTAATAAAAAGACAAGAGTAAATTACATATGTGTACTTAAATTATCAATTTTGATCTGTTTTAATATTTAATATTTTTTTCAAAATTATACCTAACGTTTTCATTTCATTTTAGTACCATGCCGTTAAAAATTAACGCGTTTAATACCTAAACAGTGATGTCGGTGAGGTATTAAATGAAACGAAAACCTAAATTTTAAGTATGATTTTAAAAAATATTAAAGGTTTAGGTATTAAAACGGATTAAACTGATAGTTTAGGTGTTAAACGAAGAATTACCCAAAAAAACGAATCCCATTATATAAAGCTTCTGTTCCTATACCATTTCCCCTTCCTATCTTTTTCTCCTACATCCTCGCCCTTTCAACTTCTTTCAATAGTCTTTCCTCCATAACAAACAGCTGCTCAAAACTATTTCTTTACTGTTCTTGTTTTATTTTTATCCCAAAGATAGAAAGAAAAAGAACATTTTTTCTTATTTTATTTGATTCGTTGTTTTCAGCCATTTTTTTTCAGCCGTCTTATTTTATTTGATTACATATGGATGTTTGGTTTTTTATGTTGATTCATCTTCTTCTTCTAAAGTAAATCTAGCTTTTCTTCTCCTTCCCAAATTAGGGTTTCCTTTGCAGAATTCGGGGGATTTTACTATCAAGCTATGACGGCTATATACTTGAGGAAACTGGGGTCTTTCTGAATTCCGATAATCAATATCATAAAAGCTTCTTCCTTTCCATTTTCCTTTCCTGGGCATCATCTTTCGAATTTGATTTCATTTTTCTTCGTCTTGTTATTTTTATTGTGACGATTGTTTCCCTTGCTGATTATTGAACAAGATTAAGGATTTTTTCTTCAATTGATCTATTGGAGATTTTCTATCAATTTAGTAAATTCCCCAAGCTTTGAGGGTACTGGTTTGAGGGGCTATAAACACTGAATTTGACAGAAGTCGAGTTAAAAACAACTTAGATTAATCTCTTTTGGGGAGCATTCGGTATTGTTAAAGGGTGTAGCTTTTATATTTGTGGCTTAAGATGGATCGTGTAATTGGTGGCAAGTTCAAGCTTGGAAGAAAAATTGGAAGTGGCTCTTTTGGAGAGCTTTATCTAGGTATAATAATCCCAACCTCCTCCTTATGGAAAATGTGGCCTGTTGCTTTGTCTGCATCGTATCTCTCTTTTCTGATTTTTTTTTTTTGGTTTGTGAAGGGGTAAATGTGCAAACCGGAGAGGAAGTTGCTGTCAAACTGGTATGTGATATTTCATTGAGTTTTTTTTCCAGTCTTTTTGTTGGCTTTGTTTGTGGCTGTGTTTGCCAATTGGTAATGATGAGTTTTTGGTCTTTGAATTAAATAAAACATTCTTCAGTTTGTAATATACTTGCTTCTGGTGGACTGGTGTTGAGTCCCAACATTTACAACCGTTTGCATCAAATAAACAAAATGCCAAAATAGAAAAGAAAAGAATCATTGTTGGCAGTTATTCTTGCTTATCCATTTTTCTTCATTTTTTTTGTTCTGTTGTTAACCTTTGGACTTTAATTACATTATATTATGGAGTATGGACATTGAGTAATAACATGATAAGAAATAGATTTTTTCTCTCTCATAAAATAGAAGTAAGTTTGCAAATGCTATTCTTAATTTGTGTTAAGAGAAGAAACTTGTTTTCCATATCCAGCTATGTTAATTTAATTTCCATTTTGAAGAATAAGAGTGTTTTTGTAGGGATGAGGAAATGAAGACTGCTTATGATAGCGAAGGTGTTTAAAATTATCATTGCTTAAATGTAATTTTGGTAGACAATTTATCAATTTTGTTCCAAATTCCAACCTACACTACCCTCTGTGAAATCATATATGGTATTGTCATTTTCATGTGAGAATGCATGATTTAGGTGTGATTTTGAAAGGGATGACCTTGACACCCCACCCCCCGCTCTTCTAATTTCAGGAATCTGTGAAGACCAGGCATCCACAGCTTCATTACGAGTCAAAATTGTATATGCTTCTTCAAGGAGGAAGTAAGTCTCTGTCTCTGCCTTGCTCTCCCTCTGTGTGTGTGCGCGGAAAAATGATTTGGTACCACATCATAATTGGACTGTAGTCTTCTGTCGGTTAGCCTTTTCAACTGCACTACCACCATTCGAGAAAACAACCTGCGAGGAAAACATTCAATCTCTGATGTGATGGAATCCATTAATTTCCTTCTCCTATTACATTTAAATCAGTCTTCAGTCAATTTAGTATTGGTCTAGGTCTTGGTAGCAGCTGGTTTTGAAAGGCCAGAGCGAGTCTTCTTTCATTATCATGCACTATCAACTCAGTCTCTTAAACTTTGTTCATGTTTTTGTTAAATAACTTGGTTTTTATTCACCTTGGTACAGCGGGTATTCCCCACCTTAAGTGGTTTGGAGTTGAGGCAGATTACAATGTCATGGTAATTGACCTTCTTGGACCCAGTTTGGAAGATTTGTTCAACTACTGCAGTAGGAAACTATCGTTGAAAACAGTGTTGATGCTTGCTGATCAATTGGTAAATATGACTTTTTTGTGGTAAAGAATAAGTTTTGAGGTTTTTTATTATTTAATTTCCCCCTTTTAACCTTTTCCCCTCCAGATTAATAGAGTAGAATATATGCATTCGAGGGGTTTTCTTCACCGTGATATAAAGCCTGACAACTTCTTGGTGGGCCTTGGACGCAAGGCAAATCAGGTACTAGTTATTTTGTGTTTTCTTATAGGTTACATTGGCAAACAAAACATGTGCATACTGATTAGATTGCTAGCACAATCACCTTTATTTTTTAATTTCTAGTTATGCTAAAAATATTATCATTTATACCATTGCTTGTAATAGGACTTCATTTCACAGCAAAAGTTTGAAACATTCTGATATCATTTTTCTTTTTTAATTTCACTTCTACAGGTATTTATCATTGATTATGGCCTTGCAAAGAAGTATAGGGATCTTCAGACTCATAAGCATATCCCATACAGGTGATTATTTCTCTGTTGATTCTTAATATAGAAATTGAGACCTGAAGATCTCAAGATTTTATAGAGAAAGCAGCTCATCAAGTTCTTTGCTGCAGAGAAAACAAGAACCTCACAGGCACAGCTCGTTATGCCAGTGTGAACACTCACCTTGGAATTGGTGAGTCATTTCCAATTTCCAACTAGTAACAGTAAACAATATATTATGGATGCTAGTTTTCTTCTTTCTTTTATTAAATTACATTCTTCAATGTTACTGACAGAGCAAAGCCGAAGAGATGATTTGGAATCCCTTGGTTATGTGCTTATGTATTTTCTAAGAGGAAGGTTGGTGTATAAAGTCTTGACATGATCATCTTAAATGTTCTTTTTTTTAATAATGTTGTTACTTTTACCGAATCTTCATTCTTAGTTTGTTCCATGTTGATTCTTATTCAATTGGAACTATTTCTTTCTTCAGCCTTCCATGGCAGGGGCTAAGAGCTGGCACAAAAAAGCAAAAATATGATAAGATTAGTGAAAAGAAAGTATCAACTCCTATTGAGGTATTATGACTTATGCCATCCAATGACTAATTTGTTTCCTTTAAGAAATTTTATTTACTAATTTCACTGATATCTGGAATTGGATTGCTTGTGCTTGTGTAAGACCTCATCATCACCTATATAGACCTGGCCTGATCTTTGTATTCTCTTTTTTTTCCCTTTTTGTGGAATGTCTGATAAATAATATAAACGTTTTAAAGCAATTTGAATTTTGGGCCATAATTGTTATTTCCACAAATGTTTTTGAAAGGATAAAATCCTCCCTATTTGGTTCAATGATGTTTGTTATAGTGATTTAATTTAGCTTAACTGGCATATGGAAGTCTGTTGTATGGTTTGACAAAGGTTTGGTTTTTAATCCCAAAATTTAGTGTTAATCCATTATATGGTTATTATACGTGTTTTCTTGCTTAGTAACAATGGCATATGTGTATTCAGCAGGTTCTCTGCAAGTCATATCCATCTGAATTTGTTTCTTATTTTCAATATTGTCGATCTTTGCGGTTTGAAGATAAACCAGATTATTCATATTTGAAGAGGCTTTTCCGTGATTTGTTTATAAGAGAAGGTTTGTTATTATGATATTGGCTTCCTTAATAATTATTAGTTGGTATAATTTTTTTTCTTGGTTCTGAAATTCACATTGTTGCAGTTTATCAGTTTGACTATGTCTTTGACTGGACTGTGTTGAAGTACCCCCAGATTGGCAGTAGTTCCCGAAGCAGAGTAAGTATTTATAAACTTCTAGGCTCTTGGTTTCTTCCACCTTGGAATATTTATGGCTTTTCCCATCTGTTTCTCAGCATTCCAGTGGAAGGGCAGGTTTAGCTGCAGGACCATCCATTGAAAACCCAGAAAGAATCTTAGGTACTATAATCAAACCTTATTTTTCGAATTTAAATGTTCGATGAGGAAAAGTTTTGTTTTGCGTCTTTCAGAAGTCTTTTGTTGCTTTTGCCGAGTATTGTGGTATACTAATAATAACCTCTTTGCTTTCTGTTTTTGATCTCCCTTATGGGTCATCCCCCCGACATCAACATTCAGTGGGAAGAGAGGTTCGGGATAAATTCTCTGGTGCAACTGAAGCTTTTTCCAAAAGAAATGTTTCTTGTACTAGTCCTCGTCGTGATCGTTCTAGAAACAAAACTGCCGAGAATGTAACTTTGTCCAAGCATGTGGTAAGCTATACTTTTCTGTCAAATATTTTCCTTTGTGGACTTCAATCTTTTTTTTTTGATAAGAATTTCAGGCCTCGTTAAAAACTCCCTTCTTGATTGTTGGAGCTAGTAGTATAGCTCCTTAATCAACGGAAGGAGGAAAAGAGTGCCTAAGGATTTTATTGCACATAAGAGATTACAAAAAGATACAACTTTACAAACACCTATAACAGAACCGATGAACAAAAACAACCTAAAACCACCCATAAATAGCACCACTAGACCAGCCAATTCCTTCATTAGGTAAGACAACAACCTCTAAATTGGCTGTCCTATTAACCAAATCTAACAACACCTAATGCAAAACAAACCAACATTACAACCAAAAACTTGAAAAAAAAACGCCTCTGAAAACATATGCCAAACAATTAAGTATCAATTGGAGGATCAAGTTCTAATGAGATATCGCAATCTTCGGGGACCCAAGAGTTAGGTTTGAAGGATGGATCAACTTCATGCACCATAATCTTGAATAAATTATCACCGACCTTCAATTCCAACAACTCATCAATTCTCACTTGATCTTTTGTGAGTATTTGGATTTTAGCCCGATCAAAAGATGATGGAAACTCGCAACTTTTGTCGATTGATAATAATTTGCCCCACTTTGTTGCAATGCTTTTGAAAGTATCCCAATTCCAAGCGTGAAAAGGAATACCTTCGCAAACTAACACGCGACGACAATTCACCACTAGGCTCTCGGACCAAGTTTTCCACTCTGGAAAACCATTCTGTAAGAGTCTCTAGATAGTCATCCTTCACGATTCTCAACGAATCGCCCTCATAAGCGTGAAGCAGCAAGTCCTTTGGCTTGAATTTGGTTAGCAAGATTACCAATTTTAATGAAGTTCTGCACCACCCCACAACAGTTACTCAGCACATGTAGCTTATCCTCGTCCACAACGCCCTCAACTTCAGAGAATTTAATCCCCGAAATCTTCCAGCCCAGACTTACGGCAAACAACAGTCGATGACTTTCTCCAGTAGATTGTCGGGGTCTGTCTTAGCCAAAGAGACTCTAACTTTGCTTCCAAAATATGATTCCATTCATCTTTGAAATCGCTATCTTGGCTTCTTTAATTGTTGCAAAGCGAATAAACCCAAACGAACCCCTTGCGAGTTTTCTTTTTTTGGAATGAAGGCATCAATAACTTTCCGTAAGTGCAAAAAATAGACCGAAGTCTCTTCCAATGTATCTCTCTGGAAGATTTTCGATAAAAATCGTGTAACAACCATTTTTGAACCCATTCCCGAAACTTGGTTGACCTTCTTTCGACCAATTATGAAACCACTTCTACTCCTTCTCGCTACTTCGAGAAAATCTTCATTAGAGAAACCTTTCATAGTGCTCCTTGGTTCCATCTTGATCAATATCGGTGTTAGGAAGAGTTGGTACTGCCTGAACTATGAAAACTTCCCGACCCTATGATTTCCTCCTTGAGAAGAAGAGACCAATGTCATCTTTTTTAACAGGTGGCTGACAATCCAATGTTGCTTTATCAGAGCACTGCTTCAGAGGATTGGGTAATGTGGACTGTCACCTGACCTCTCTATATACGTTCCAAACTTGCTGATTTTGGGACATAGAATCTTTTCTGAAAGTAGTACCGTCGGGCTCAACTGTCCAACCAGCTTCACGAGCCAAGGCAGCTAAAACATCATTCATAGCAGCATTCTGGGGAATAGGGAAATTACCGAACTGCCTCAAACCAGCCAGCAAACGTCTGGTGAAAACTCGTCTGTATCGTTTCCGAATCTTTGCGTTCTCCTTTTCATTCTCCTTGAACGTTTTTTCCTTACCAGAAAAAGATGAAGTGTTTGCAGCGACGAGTCCAGCGGTTTTGAACTGCCTACCTCGTGATATTGTATCCTCCAGCATTTAAGTTCCTGTTCTCGCTTCTTCAAATCAGCCACAAGAGATTGAGTTCCTTCACTCTCGCTTCTAAATCCTTGGCTTCAAGAGGGAGAGATGAAATCCTAGTCGTTGAAGGAGGAGCGAACATGACCTGCAGAGGATGCATCCACCGCATCTGATGCAGCAGACCTTGGAGCATCCACCACGTCTGTTGCAGCAGACCTTCGATGTCGCCTGGGTTGGGACGGTGGTTGAGGTGCCATGGATAGATCGAAACTTACAGAGCAAAAAGCAACGATTCTTTACGCAAGGAAACGCGGGTTCTGGTCACGGAGAGAAGACGAGTTCGAAGGTGAGACAGTGTCGAACGCTGACGGCGGGATGCGACGGTAGATAACAGAGGAAGCTGTGAAGATTTGCGTCAAATGGCAGTGATTTTCGCAAATCTCAGACCAGATCCGAAAACACCATTAGCCGACGAACCTCCCCAGGAAAAAACGCGTCAAAAGTAGGTCGGAGTAAGGCGGCGGACAGCTGACGGAGGCGGCGGGTGGCGGACGACGATGGAGGACAATGGGTGTTTGACGGAGGAGAGAAAAGATTCAAAACGGGCTCGTGAAAATTCAAAATTTTTGTGGACTTCAATCTTGTGTGAACCTTGTCCGAGAATAATTCTTACTAGCTGTAAAGCTTATTAGCCACCAATTTCCTTTCTAGCAGTATTGCGACAAAGCTCTAAACTCACTTTTAATCTCCCTCCTGTTTTTTATTTCAAGTTCACGACTTCATATCCTCATGTTTCTACTTTATTTCATATAATAGCCATGCTAAGTTGCAAACGTGTTGGCTTTCATCTCAAACTCTGGATTAGAATTAGGATATTTTTAGAGTAGTATCAAATGCACATTTGAAATAGCACTGCTGATCTGCTGTGTGGTCAATAGGCATGTACTGAACACTGATCCCTCATTTATTCGTTAGCTTAATTTTGTTTTTGATACATTTTAGGTGGCCTGGTACTAAGACATAAGTTCTGTCTATTTGGATTTTTCTTTTAATTCTGTTCATCTCTTTTATGTTTTGCTTTTGGCTAATCTTCCACGTTCTGATTGTTTGTTGGCTTGCAATTCCCAGCACCCTGATTCAGGTAAAAGAAGCAGTTCTCGATATGGTAGCACTTCAAGAAGAGCTGTAGCAACAAACATGCCTAGTTCATCCGGCAAACCCAATGACATTCCACAAAACCAACTATCAACAAATGATGACGGTCGCTTGTCAACCACACAAAAAATCCAACATGCCTTTGAGGTCAAACCATCTAGTCGTGCAGCCTCTGGTAGAGGAACCCGTGAGGATCATCATCTTCGGAGTTTTGAACTTCTCTCAATTAGGAAATGATGGAGAGTGGTATATCAACTGTTGGCCATTGTTTTAACAAACTTGCTAGCTCAACTGTGTATAAGGGATATCACTCAGGATCCAATGCAATTGCTACTGTTCATGCCATTTCCCTCATCATGTTGCCAAACATTTTTACATCATTCACCCCCTCCCCTCAAGAATGTGGCCATTGTAAGTGTTTAAGAAAGCATTGAAGACAGCTCATATTTGAGTTGAATTACTGCAATGAAAAACTAGAGCGTTTGAACTTTTTAAATATTGTAGTGCTACCAAACATTGGACAAGTTGATACTTGTAGAAAGAAAGCATCCAACAGCTTTTTGTTTCTTTTATCTACTGTTAGCTTAGGGCATTATATAAAAGAAGGGGGGAGAATAAAAACTTGTGAAAACGAGTCAACTCAAAAATCAACAAACAATTTCAGCTATTTGTGTTTGATAGCAAAAGTATTGAATAACAACTATGCCAAAAAAATTCAAGTCTTGCTAGGTTTGGAAGATCTCAAACTGAATAAAGAACTGAAATGTATAACAATGGAGGGCTAAATGGAAGAAAGCTTTAAGCCGCTGTCTCCTTTTTAAGCTTAGCCAGCTCCTGCCTAACCATTCCGGCTTTCTGCAATACAAAACACAGTACATACATGTTAGGATCGGGAAATCTTATAATCAGGCTACAATTTATATTACAGAAGAGATTCAAAAATTGAAAACAAAAGTTTACAATCAAGCCGATATATCCGAGTGCTACAACATATATGGAGTTAGGTTAACCGAAGGGCTTGGAAAGCTGAAGATATGTATTGATTGCACCAAAAAGGTTCCGAAAGTTCAAAACTCCCTTCATTCAAGACCCAAACTTCTTTAAATCATTAAAGTAAGGAGTAAAAATGGACTTTTCATGACATTAAACTTATCCGGAGATCAATGCCAAGAAAAACACTTGAAAACTATATTCCGAAATCAATGATTACAATGTCATTAACAGTTTATTGTTCCATGGTTATTGGTAGCTACTCAATTAGCTTAATAAACATAGAATGGAATAGTTGTGGAAATGTACCATGGGGATAGGAAAGAGAATACCAAGCATTATGCCAATCTTTAATACATTAAAGACCACCCAAAACTGAAAATGCAGAAACACCAGGAAAGCATAGCATAGAAATGATGTGATATAAAAGAAAAATATGAAAATGTGGTTACCTTAATCTTTGCCAACATGAGCTTGAACCTATCAAAATCATTAAGAGATGTCCGTCTTTTCTGCACGATCAGCTTCCTGCCCCATGAACTGTTCTCCCACTTGTTCTTCACATCTGCACCATTATAAACCAAGTTTCAAGCAACAAGAGTGAATAAAAAAGCGACCCTTTTTCTTTTCAAAGTTTAGAAATTTAACACCAACCAGCTTTCTCCATAGCATCAATCAAGGTCTTCTTCTTAGGAACCCTATTAATATCAATCTTGATATCGGCGAGAGTTAGTCTCTTAAAGTTCATTTGGCTTCTCACCATATCGGGTGCATCAACAAGAGCCTACATCACATTAAAAGCTACTATAACAACTTATTCAGCCACAATGGTAATCATTTTCAGCAAAGCATTCGTATCACATCTAAATTTTAGCTAAAAATTGCAATGTACTGGAAAAAAAGGAAAAACCGAATAACCGATAAAATGGAAAGGTAAAATTTGATGGCGAACCCTGTTTTGATCAACGACATCGACAATGACAACGAGCTTCCCATAGTCCTTTCCGTAGTTAACCAGAGCCACTCTCCCGATCTCCACGTACCTCTTGAACGGCTACACCATAAATGAAAAACAAATATTTGAATGTAATTATAAAACAAGAACATAAAATGTAATATGTTTATCGTTGTTGCTTGGGAGCTGTAAAAAAAACAGTGGGTTTTGTTTCTTTTAGAAGCTTACCATTTTTTGAGAGCTTGGGATAGAAGGTCTTGTTGAAGTTATGGTTTCTGAAGGCGACCAAAATCATTAAATATACCTTATTTTAGGGTTTAAAAGTTTGATTTTTCTTCGAATCGCTATTGGCCACTTGTTTTATTTTAGGGTAAATTACACATTTAGTATCTAAACTATCAGTTTTAGTCTATTTAGTATCTAAACTTTCAAAAATTTTAAAACTATACTAATGTTTAGTTTTTGTTTCATTTTAGTATCGCGTAAAAAAACTTAACTTTAAGTTTTTAAAAAAATTGAAAGTTTATATACTAAAAAAGACAAAACAATTATAGTTTAGGTACTAAACGTATTAAGTTTTTAACGGTGAGTACTAAAATGAAATAAAATTAAATCTTAAATATGATTTTTTTAAATGGAAGTTTAAGTATTAAAATAGACTAAAACTAATAGTTTAGGTATTAAATGCATAATTTACCATTTATTTAATTTTATTTGGAAAATATAGATTTTTATTGGGCTAATTGGTTCGATCTTTAAAAAATAATAGTGACCGATTAATCTTGTCCAAAGATAAAATGCTTAGATAAAAATATTCTATATTAAAGAGAGTTTATATTTTGCTCCGAACTTTGAGGAAGATCTTTTGCCCTCGTATGTCAAGGTTTTACATGAGTGTTTTCACTCATCCAGAGCCCTTGTCGACGGGTATCTCCGTGGCCCCTCCCCTGGAATGGTCAGATTCTTCGATCGATATATCGATTCCGTCAATACTCATAAGGTAGTATCGATTAGGGATGGCAAAAAAATTCGAATTCGACGGGGAAAATCGAAAATCGAATTAAACGGGTCGGGTTCGGAGATGATAAACTGGGACGGGAAAATCCATTTATTTTAAATGGGGACGGACGGGGACGGGGACGGGACGGTAATCCCCGCCCCGATTACCCGATTACCCGCCCTGATTATCCGCCCCGATACCCGACCCGATAAATATTAAAAATAATTATTTATATATATATATATAATATTAATAAATTTAATTTAAATAAAAAATATATATTTAATTTAAATATATATATATATACCCGGCCCGATTCCCGGCCCAATACCGACCCAATACCTGACCCAATACCCGGCCCAATACCCGTTTAAATAACCGTTTATGCTAAACGGGGATACCCGTTTCCCCGCGGTTTTCCCCGATTACCCGACGGGGATCCCCGTTTAAATCTTCGCGGTTTTTTAAATGGGGACGGGTACCGGTTTTTTAAACGGGGACGGGGACGGGGGGACCAATACCCGACCCGTTGCCATCCCTAGTATCAATATTAATTATTTATTTTAAATGTGTTTAGATTTCAATAGGTGTTTTTGATACCGATACTCAAAGGAGTATCGATACCATAAACTCAGTACCGATACCAACGATCAAAAAACGATTAGTTTTTATTAGTGCAATATCGATACTTGAAGTCAGAATACCAATATTATCTGATCTAGACAATTTTATTTTGCAGCAATTAAGTCCTTAATGACTAGAAACGTCTACAAACACATTACAACATATAAAAACAAGCTGAGAACTCTATAAAAAGGTTACAACATCTATCCAAGCAATCTATATCAAAAGAAAAACTCTTTCAATCTTATTTTTCATTTTCTCTTGTACATACAATGTTTTTGTGAGCTTAATTTGTAAACACCTACCTTTTGGAGGTTTTATTGTTTACATTTCTTTATCTTTGTGTAAAAGGGTTTTTGGTTCTTTCTTAGCCATTGTAAAAGATAGGGAATTTGTAGGCAAAATTAGCCTAGTAAGGTATATGAGTTTTTTATTTAGTCCATTAGGGCAAGTCGATATTTATTTTGGAATCTATGGTCTTTTCTATATTGACATGAAACTCGTCACGTCGAGGTGACGAGTTTCAATAAAAATATTTTTTTATTTTAACTTTTTACCACGATGTGATAGATTTTAATAAAAACAAATTATATTTTATTCGAACTCGTCACCTCGACATGACGAGTTCGAATAAAAAAATAAATTTTTATTGAAACTCATAACATAGGCTTGACAAGTTCCAATAACACTGTAGAAATTACTGTAGATCCCAAAATAAATTTTGACTTGTCTTAATGGGCTAAATAAAAAATCTAGTTATCTTTATTGGGCTAAATCAATCGAATTTGTAAAGGTTACTCTTGAGCCTATAAAAAGAAAGAACAAATTAGTGAATTTAATAGAAATCATTAGTGATGAGCTAAGGTAGTGGATGTAGACTTCATTAAGACAGTTGAACCATTATAAATCATTGAGCCAATTTTCATATTCTTTTTCCTTAATTCCCAGAAATTTTAAAAATGCTAATTCACCTGTTCTTGGCAACAATTTTGATTGATCGATAAAGCATCATAAATCCCAACACTATTTATTACCGAGCTTTATAAAATAAGATTAACCAATTATGACAATCGCATGATCAGATTCAGTCGGTGAATTTAGAGAATGGCTACTATCTTGTTCCCTTTGACACTAAAATTCTAACCGAGGGTCTTTGGATGTTTTTTGGTAGCTATCTTAGTGTTCAGCAATGAAACCAGAATTTCTCCACTGTAAATAACCATCTCTCTCTGGTCATTGTTTGGGTAATTTTGCCTAGGTTACCTTATTGGTTTATACCAAGTTTATGTCTCGTCTTTTAGTGACTGAACTAGAAAAGGTAATCAAAATCGATTACAACGCTGATATAAGGAAATGAGGAAAGTTTGCACACCTAGCAGTGATTGTTGATTTGAATAAACCATTACTTTTATGTATTGACATTGATTACTCCATTCATAAGCTGGATATGAAGGGCTCCATGATGTTATTTTCGATGCATGTGGCGTGTACAGACACACATGTGTGGTGTAAAAGATGTTGAAGCATTGAAGAAATATAATATTTTTTCAAGTGGTCAGAAAACTAGCGAAGGTCATTCAGTCAAAGTAGGGGACGACCTCTATAGCCCATGGATATTGGCAACAAATCGTCGACGTCGTCCATGTGACAAGTAAAACAAGCGTGAATGCGGAATTTATCAAGGGGACCTTTTATCGTACTATGTATTTGTTTGGTGTATCGAGCTATTAGCCTAGGTTGTTCACAAGAAAGTTACAGAAGGTAATTTGATTTTGATCACTCTCTCGTGGGGGTCATCTTTATATCACTTTTTTTTGATGATTTAATTCTTCTTGTTGAAGTTTCTATGACGCAGTTGGATGCGATTCAACATGTAATCTAAGATTTCTGTTATAGCTCTGGACATCGGGTTAGCCATGGCAAAACTAATATTTTTTTCTTTAGAAATATGGACCAACATCTTTATAGTGAGATTAGTGGTGGTTTTGAATTCACGTACATGGTTATTTTTGTAAATATGTACCAGAGTTTTATTTGTTATAAAATGAGATGTAACAAAAACCTGTGAGATATTGAAAAAAAAATTCTAACGCCGCCTAGGGCACCAAGGACATAAACACATTGCTGAACCTCGTTAAAATTCTTGTGTTCTTTCCGTTTTCTTTACTCGATTATTCAACAATTGGTACAAGATGTCAGGAGCCTAATTCGAAGTTGCGAAATTCAATGGTCAGTGTAACTTCGGATTATGGAAAACAAGGGTGAAGGATCTGTTGGCACAGCAAGGGATCCTGAAGGCTTTGTGACCTACAAAGCCGGTATCGATGGAGGAGGAAGATTAGGAAGAATTACAACAGCGAGTAACAGGAACCATACGATTATGTTTGGCGGATGAGGTCATGTATCACGTCATGCATCTGTCGTCTCCAAATGAAATTTGGAAGAAGTTAAAAAGTCAGTTTATGTCCAAATCCTTAACGACTAAACTGTATCTAAAGCAACGGCTGTATAGGTTGAAGATGCATGATGATCATGATTTGGCGCAACATGTGAATGTCTTCAATCAAATCATTTATGATTTGGCGCAACACGTGAATGTCTTCAATCAAATCATTTCTATTTTGGTTCGGCTTGATGTGAAAATTGAGAATGAATGCAAAGTGATGATTCTGTTGTGTTCGTTGCCTCCCTCTTACGAACACATGGTGACTACCCTTACATATAGGAAAGATACTATTAAAGTTGAGGAGATTACTGCAGCCTTGTTGGCTCACAACCAGCGGAAGCAGAATGCAGGGGAAAACTCTCAAGCTGATAGCTTATATGTCAAGGGTAATCGAGACTGTGGATGGAAGCCAGAGAAGGCAGGGTCTGGGAAGCGGAATTTTAGATCCAAATCTAGGGATAAGAAGACAATTCATTGTTACAAGTGCAAGGAGGCGGGACATATGTAGCGAGACTGTCCGAAGTTGAAAAAAAAGACTGATGAGAAGCGTGATGACTCATCCAAGTATGTGAATGTGGTCGAGGATGACAATTCTGATGTTTGGATTCTTGATTCTGGATGTTCTTATCACATCACGCCAAATAGGGAATGGTTTTCGACATACAGGTCGGTTAATTCTGGTTCTGTTTATTTGGGTGATGATCGATGTTGCAATATTGTTGGTATTGGTGATGTTAGAATTCAGAGGTATGATGGTTCTGTTCAGACGTTGTGTGGTGTTCGGCATATCCCAGATTTGAAGAAGAATTTGATTTCTTTGGGCACTTTGCACAAGAATGGTTTTATCCCTAAGGCTGATGAGGATAGGGAAACCATTCGGATTGTTAAAAGAGCTTTGATTGTGATGAAAGAAAAGATGACTGCAGAGAATATTTATAGATTGTTAGGGAGTACCTTTGTAGGTGGAGTTCATTCTGTTGAGTCATGTGATGATACTACCAAACTGTGGCATATGTGTCTTGCTCATCTTAGTGAACGTGGTATGAATTAATTACATAAAAGAAATCTGTTGCATGGTGTTAAAAGTTGTAAGCTCGATTTTTGCAAGTAGTGTGTTCTTGGTAAACAGACTAAAGTTCGTTTCAAGACTGGGAAGCACACAACTGAAGGGATTCTTGATTATGTGCATTCTGATGTATGGGGGC